ATTTCCTCATACGGAGGTACAAGAACTTGAAACGCTAAGAGAAAATTTAAGGGCAATTTATGGTCTTATTGTTCAGCTGCCTGTAATGCACGGCTACTCGTACAGACCGCAGGTAGAGACGTCGCCAGGCCCTGGGAGACCAAGGTACGTCATCCCTTCAGAACAGCTATCATGTTTGCGGAGTGAGTTCAACAGCTGGACGCAGATTGCTGCCGACTTAGGGGTCTCTAGGCAAACTATTTATAATAGGAGAAGGGAGCTTGGATTTTCTCTTGTCTTTGAGGGATACAGTAATATTCCTGGCACTGACTTGGACAATCTTGTCAGAGATGAACTAAATGCTTTCCCGCGGACAGGCGAAACAAATGTTATGGCAGGCCTCAGACAGAGGGGCATCTATGTTCAAAGGTGGAGGGTGCGAGAGGCCATAGTAAGAGTAGACCCGATCAACCGTGCAAATAGGTGGGGACAGAGAATAGTTAGGAGACCTTACAGTGTCCCTCATCCAAACTTCCTGTGGCACATGGACAGTAATTTAAAATTACGTCACTGGCGGATGTGCATCCATGGCTGCATTGATGGATTTTCGAGATGCATAATTTACCTCGATGTTCACAACAACAATAGAGCAAGTACTGTCCTCACCTCGTTTCAGCGGTCAACAAATGAATGGGGTGTCCCATCGCGAGTTCGAGCCGACAATGGAGGAGAAAATGTGGCTGTCAGAGATTTCATGGTCTTTTTTCGAGGTGAAAATCGGGGCAGTTTTTTGACAGGGCCTAGCACACGGAACACCAGAATAGAACGCCTTTGGAGAGATGTTGTGGAAAGTGTTGTGACTGTGTTTACATCTTTGTTTTTGTTTATGGAGGCTAGACACATTTTGGACCCTATGTGTGAACGTGATATGTTGGCCTTGCACTATGTCTTCCTTCCGAGAGTGCAGAGACTGTTAGACAGATTTACCCAACGCTTCAACTTTCATTCTGTCTCAACTGAAGGTAACCGAACACCCCGGCAACTGTGGGCCTCCGGGTGCCTCAGAAATTTCAACTCCCCAAATGCTGGTATACGTGATGTTCTGGACACTGACAATTCCATACCTGAGGATATGGACATGTATGGGCATGATCCTGCTGCTCCACTGCCTGATCCTCAAGAAGATGAGGAGGGAGTGGTGATCGCAAACATAGACTTCGAACTATCAGAGGAGGCTAATGCTGCTTTAACACAGAACTTCACTCCTCTGATGGAAGACAACAACTATGGCATTGAAATATATTTACAAGTTCGGGAATTCATTGCAAGGATCATTCAAGAGTAACAATAGAATACAAATGGTTTCTTGTCTTTTTTTTTTTAACTTAAATACTTTTTTTTTTGGTTATTGCTAGGTTCAAGTTCGCTTGTGATTTTCCCAAAAAACATTTATACTTTATACAAAACCATGTTTTTTACAAAACATTTCTTACAGTCTCTTTAAATTTTCTGTAATCACTACCCAGTGGCGGATCCAGACCAACGCATAAAGGGGGAAGGGGAGCGTTAATCCAGACCCAGAGATGGGGAGAGGGCCGGCCTCAAAAAAATTCTTTTCGGCCTCATTTTGGTCTTAAAATAATGGGGGGGGGGAGGCGTGCCCCCCGGGTCCCTACCCTGGATCCGCCACTGCTACCTCTTTAATAGACCGGTGACAGTACAGTTTAAACAAGAAGGTAGGATGACCCTTCTGTTAAGGTCACCCCAACTCCAACGTGAAACATTTCATGCTGAACTAACTCGGTCATGTGTGACCAGCTTCCTTATAACATTCCAAATTGAAACTTGAAGAATGTAAAGATAACTTGATAGAGTAGACAAGAAAATAATGGCTTATAACTTCATTGTAAATACCAAATGCCTAGTATGTAATGTTCAGGCACCACGTGTTTAAAAGTTGGATAGCACTATCCACCGGAAATATCACTATCCAATGCATGTCTTGTTAGGGAAACTAAATTGTGCTATCCAGTGGATAGTGATTTATCCAGTGGATAGCATTATCCACCTTTTGAACAACTGGGGCCTGATTTTTATCTTTTCCCAACTTGTTACGTTTTCTGGTCACATGTAATGTAGCCTGTAGCCAGTCATAAGTGTTTTAAAAGGCATTATAAGGGCCATGCATCTATGCCCTGGAATAGTCAAAGCCTAACCCTTTTTTTGTTTTGTTAGTGCATTAAATATTGAATCAAAAAACGGAGAGTGGCATTGTCTTGGACTTCTTCCACACGAACTACTTCACTTAAGCAGAGGACATCATCCTTGAGGTTGATCAGTTCTTCTTTCCATGATTTTATTTTCTCTTTCCCTGATTTGGTTTTCCATGAAACCCTACAGAGAGAATATGCAATAACACTGTAAGTGTTTCATTCAAGATACGTACAGTCACATCCCGTTAATAATTAGTGGGCCACAGGAAGTGTCTGTATTGATGGAAAACTGTCTATAATAACAAGGTGTTCATATAACAGCTGTAACTATCACCTGTAGACATCCGGGAAAAAGGGGGCAGAACCAAAAAAAATATAACATAATCACATAAGTATCAAAAGTATACACACTGAAGAAATAAATTAGGACAGATGGTGGAAGTTGTTCTGCCATATTATTCCTAACTCAAGAATATATTGTTTTCCCTAGTGATATAAATAATTATTATATGGAGGAGAGTGTTTTACTGGGAACTAAACCACTCGTAGGTTCCATACGCCACTTCATCCGGGACCCGAGTGGCGTATTTTCCGTATGTCACCTTTGTGAGTGTCGTATCGTTCAATGACGTCACGATTCCCGCCTTTTGCTTTTGTTGAATTGGTTTCTCCATATAATAAAAAGAATATTACACGTTGGCTCGAAGATATGAATTTTATGTTCTCGTGGCAAAAACAATATCTNCTTTGTGAGTGTCGTATCGTTCAATGACGTCACGATTCCCGCCTTTTGCTTTTGTTGAATTGGTTTCTCCATATAATAAAAAGAATATTACACGTTGGCTCGAAGATATGAATTTTATGTTCTCGTGGCAAAAACAATATCTCACTCGTGAGATATTGTTCTTGCCACTCGAACATAAAATTCATATCTTCTCGCCACCGTGTAATATCCTCTATATATGCAGTTTGATTAGTGGCACTTGATGATGACTTCATGTTATTTTGCTTTTTTTGGAGGAGTCACTTCCATTCCTGATGTTAACAGGGAGGTGATGCCCATTTCACTTCCTACAAAAATATGCAGGTCAAAGAAACCATTCGATCTCCTCACTCCACAAGTGGTCGTTACCAGCTTGCTTTGCACTGGCGGACTGATAAAATCTCCATTTCCAGACTGCGTCAGATCCACCCTCCACTCAAACATTGCACTGTCCACTGATTCACATAAAGGCACTTTCTAAGAATATGAACATTGACAATAAATTAAGTTCATCTTTTTATCTTTCTTTCCTTTTTACATTTTTACACCTCTCAAAAAAACAGTTCCAAGAGGAACTGAAGTGTACAAATTTACACCCCACAACCCTACTGATCCTGTCTATGGATATGGGTAGGTGTCCACATTTATTAAGTGGATATATAAAAGGTGACCATGCACAGCTTGATTATAGGACTGACTTAAGACATGGGGGGGGGGGTGGTTAGGCTTACTGCTGTCAATAACATCTATGAATGGTTCACATCAAATACCTTGCTCTTTATTGTCTGAAGCAGTGTTGCCATGGTTGCATTGAGATGAGGAGCCTTATATTCCTCAAAGTGATTTCTGACCGTACCACCTTGCCTAAGGATTTCACCGCAGTTGAAGGGGCACGCAAAGGGCTCCTTACTGCACATTGAAAAGTGTGCAATGACTTGGTCTCTGCAATGCAAGGAATGCCATGAATTTCATTCACAAAGAAAAGTTGTATAATATTACAAAACATAACTGCAGTGCTCAGGATCCAGACCTTGAGATAAGGGGGGGGCCCCGTTAAACCTAAAAAATTTTTTTGGCCCTTTGGGTCTCAGTTTGGTCTTAAAATAAGGTGAGCAGAGGGGTGGTGGGCCCCCTGGTCCACTTCCCTGGATCGGTCACTGTACTGCATTATTGTCCAGTCACATTCTCATTTCTTGACCAGCCCCTTCCACTAAAAAACTATTTGATTTCTAAATGAAACAAATTGAGAAAACTTGGATAACATACCTTAACAGGGTTACACCACATTTGTTTGGGCATTCCAAAGCTATCTTTGGACAATTATCATTGTGTCTTGGCAAATTGACCAATTTCACTTTAGCACTACAATGCTGACAGTCTTTGGTCCGGTGGGGGCACTTCTCCAAATGTCCACTTAATTCATATCGGTAGACTGATACAGTACAGTCCGTGTTGGTGCATTTGACCATTTCCATGGGGCACTCTTTCAGGTGCTGTGGGACACTTTCCAGAGGCCCACTCCAGCTGCATCCAGCTTCATTTGGACATTTCATTTGAAGCTTGTCAATCATGGACTGCAATGCCAAGTTTCTTACAGGTAGCACAGCCCCCACAAAAGTACGGTCGACAGGGCAATTTCCATTGCCCTTGAACATGGCCGTTTCAAGGCATTTCTCACACATTGTGTGACCTTTGTTACACACGACTGGATTTCGCATTACCGCAAGACTGAAAAAGAATGCGGTGACAAAATCATTTAATGCGTTTATACTAGAAACCAAATTTTCTCGGCAATTCTCCTAGCAACTCATCCCAACACAAGGCAACACCCTTGTCGACCTCAACCCCACCCCCCTCCCCCCACCCCAACCTCATCAATCTACTGCCACAAACCAAATCTGGTCATGATCAATTTCTTCTACTTACCTTAACATTGGAAACACAAGGATAGAAAATATTATTGTATTTCATGATTGACTACATTTTAAGGGAGCTTCTGCTAGCATATTTCACGCTTTGGTATGCGGATAATGGAATGTTATCGCTGGCTGTGGTTACGAATTTAGACATGTGATTTTTTGTATAATTTCTTCTTAAACGACTTTAAACTTACCAAACTGGACAAACATAATTTGGGTCCACTGTGTGAACAAAAAGTTCTAGAGGAAAACCGAATTCTTCATCCATTTCAGGGAAAATTCCAAAAAATCGTCTCCAGACAATACACGTGTTGGAAATGACCCTCGCTGTAGACATCGATTATGTGCTTCATAATAATCATGCAGTGACATTCATTGCACCAATGGCCTGCGATCGGTTCCGTTTTTCCTGTCAATGTCAATTTTATAATTAACCTGGAAAATGATTTCACGCGCGGTGATTGGTTTTTAAGAAGCGACAAGTAGAAACGTCAAGTTGTCAATATGTTTGAAATAAGACACCCTGAGAGAGGAACGTGCATTCCGCAGTTTCTTTTCCCACATCGTGAGCAACATTTTGCTTTGTGTTTCTGACTTCAGATATCTTTGTCGATCTTCAATGGTAAGGTTTCAAGAAACCGTTCGTGTTTAGTTAATCGCGGAAATGTCTATTTACGGCTTATTGGCTGATCTATTTTTATAGGATTCCAGTACAAGTGGTGGTTCGAGCACCGCCCCAAATGACACCAGCACTGTTGCTGTTGGCGGGGTAAGTTTTTGCTATTTTCGACCTGCCTGAACCATCGAAGAGATATCATTGTCTCTTCTTTTACTCTCGATTAGCATTTTTTCTAGTTAATTCATATTCTTACCATCTTTGAATTAACGAGCAACAACAAGATGGAGTATAATATTTCAAACTAGCGCAATGCAAGGCTGAGTTCAATGTTAGTGATTCGTTGATATTTTCCAAGCCTTAAACGCACGTTACATCTGATTTAAGTTTGTTGTTAGTTTTAAAGAACAAGAATGAGAAGAAATGACAAAGAAGTCCAGTTCTTGTGACAGCTTTTGTTCAGTGACGCTTACGCAACACAGATAAGACGGCAAAACTTGTGTGACAAGCGTGACAAGGGACAGGTTCACTGCACAGCGCATGCTCATTTTTCAAAATGCTGTTTTGCTATAAGTTTTGCTACTGGGACATGCTGTATCGTATAAATTCCAAGTTCATTTAGGTCAACAAAAATTTCCCATCCTGGTGGGGGTTAGTGTTTTGTCTTTTTTGCCGTGACACTTCTAAATGAAGCATACATGAGGGAAAAACAACAAAACGGTCAAAGAGTACTGGAAACAAGTTTGAAAAATAACAAAGACGGTGGCCACAGTTGCTGACAAATTTTTTTGGCTTTCCAAGACGTTTTGTAGAAGTTTTCTTTTTATAAATCACCTAGATTTCACTTCAGCTCGTTATTGGCACTGAAGTGTAATGTATTCCCCTTGATGTAATGTTCAACAGGACTCTGCTGCTAATAGCTCAGGGGACAGAAGTTCTGGCAACAGAAATGCCAGCACTGTGACATCGGTAAGCATGACTAGATAGATATTTCTATTCTTGCTTTAGGTATAGTTCTGCAGGTGTTGCTTTTGCTGCTATAGTGACGTTAAGTCAATAGGGCTGTCACAAGATTTCATGTTACAGGGTAAATCCAACAAGTAGGCTGGGAATTAAACAGCTAGGGATTGGTTTTGGCTCCACTTTTCTTCTATTTTCCCCTGAAAGTAGTCAGGGACCACATTCATAGTAGCCCAAGGGTACCCTAGACTCCTGCCTTTCAATGACAGCTGTACTGAATAACACATGTTAAATTTCAGTTATGCCCATGCCACATCAAAAGAGTGTTCAGTAAAAGTGTCTTTAGATTGACTCAAGAAACTAGTCATCTCTAAATTAAGAATCTAGGCTATAAGATCGACTCTCATGTTATTTAAAATGTGCTGACACCAGAAGATTGATTGCAGGTTAAGATTCAATCACTTGTACAGTTATGGCATTCTTTTTAGCATAATATACACATGTATGAATTGAATTTTTTTTCATCACAGTAGCTGTCATGTATTAGCCTTTGCTGAATATTGAAATGTAGTGTCCCTGATGTTGTCCTTCTTATAAACCTCTACAGGCTTCTACTGCTAATGATTCCCAGAATGGTAGTTCCAGCAACAGGAATGACAATGCTGTAACATCTGTAAGCTTGAATGCATATTTTTATAAATGCTATGGCTATATTCCTGGCAGAAGGGTCTTCAATTAGTAGAATAACTGCCTTTCAGTTAGAAAACATTCTTCAGGACTTTTCTCTTCACGAAAGAAAAATATATACATTTGCATATACCGAATGCCAATACCATAGCTTGACTGACAAACTTTTTCATTTATTTTATTTAAAGGTGTGGTTAATTATTTCATTTTAATTATTTTGGTAAAATGTTACTGTAGAGAAGTCACATTTCACTGTTACTATCATAATAATTCAAATCTTGTTTTTTTTTTTTTTAAATTTTGCAGGTTGCTCAGTCAGCGAATGCTATTGCCCATCAAGTTAGGGCAGCATTTGCATCTACATCTGGGTTATCTTTCAACCTACAGGACAATCTAGTGCCTGCAAGTCGTGGTAGAGGGAGAGGCAGAGGTAGAGGGGGGAGCAGAGGAAGTGGCAGAGGAGGAGGCAGTGGTCGTGGCAGGGGTCAAGACAACAACAACCTGTATTGTTTTAACGTTATATTATTAAACCCAGGCCAATCATCAATCCCTCGTGGTTCCACACGTTCAGAGCTGGAGTCCAATGGCCGGGTAAAAACCCTGGAAATACCCCGTGGAGCAACACCTCGGACAACATATCAAAGGCTTCTCTCCCTCTTCCCAGAACTTGACGGGTTAGGGTTGTTTTTTCCTTTTCTTTTTCCTGGAATCTGTTTTTATTTGTCGTACTTTTAAGTTGATCACCTGTCAATCATTCTCTCCTTCATCATTAATCTTTAGATTTTTTCTCCCAACCAGGACAAGAGGGTTTGAAATAGTCCGTGGTGCCGGGGGCAATAATTTGACACCCTTTGGTTCACAGCCTGAAACTTGCTCAGCAAGAGATTTGAATTCAATTCGCGGCCAAGGTTGTTTGTATCTGCGTTTAAAGCCAAGCCAGGTTTGTTTTTGTGAATATAGTTAACACTGTCTTGCTCACTTTTTCTTTCTTTTATGTTGTAGTAATGTAAATATATGTGACCAGATTACATTGTTCATTCCTTAAATTTTATAGATTGGAGGTAGCCGTGGTGATTTATCTAGCCAACCATCCACTCAAGGTACATCAAAATTTTGGTAGAAATTATGCCATGTTACAGTGTGTTCCTGACCATAAGTTGTTATCAAAACATAATAAATAATGATATTACTTGGTTTTTAATCATTTCTTTGATTAAAACATAATTTCCATAATTTTTTTTTATTTTTGTGTCTGTGTGTATCAAGGAAAAGAGGGGGGAGGGCCTATTCTGTACTAGGTTGTTACGTGAAGCCAAACATGCTTAAATTGAAGCAACCACTTGTGTGATCATGTTTAGTACATATTTGTCTTGAGTAATATAATTATTGTAATGTATCTCAAAGGTTACGCTTTAACTTAGTTGATTCAGTTGTGAACCACATCAATCAATGGAAAATCTTCCTCTGCACAAAAAAAAAAAATAAAATAAATAACTTGCAGTTGAATTCTGTGATCTTTTAAAAGGGCGACAACGTACTGGTGATTCCAGAGATCCAGGTAGACGCTGGCGACAAAGCCTAAATCGTAAGTTTGGTTAACCCTTGACTTTTTATCTTATTGACCTATTTTTAGTGGAGCCTTGTTTTAACAAAGGGTCAATCAGGGTGGTCAAAAGTAGCCGGCTGCTGGCGATCAGCAATAAAATGAGGTTACATTATATCAAGATTCTTTTGTTATATTTTACTATTACTGAGGCGAATTGTTTGTTATCCCAAGGACTCTGTTATGTAGATGTTCATTATATCAATGGTTTGACTTTAATGGGCATGATCCTGATAGCATTTAGTGTTGTTTATTTTTTCCCTATCTTTTATGGCTGCTGCCTAATGGTTGCCTGGTCACCAGAGGCTTCTAAAATTTGCTCAAACTTGATGGATAGCCAAAGCTTATGATTCTTATGGCAATAGCCTCTATGTCTCTTTCCAGTGAAGGAACAACAGTGCATTCCCTGCTCATTTCATACTTTTGAAACAAAAAAGTAATGCACTTGTTTGTCTACCATGGACAAAACATTTCCACAGATAAAAGTACACAAACAAGCAGTTTTCTATAAATTTGGAACTTGAACAAATCAAGTTCATGAATTGAGTTTCGAGCATTGACTTATACTTATTATTACTGATTATCAATCAACGGGCTCCTCTCCGAAGGGCCCCAAAAAATTTTATAGACAACAGCCTAATGTTCTTTCCTGTTGTTTTTCTTCTTTGTATAATTTTTTTGTTTAATTATTTATTTCAAGAGAATAATCAAGTTGGCGCAGAAATGGGAGAGAGTTCTGATGAAGAGCTTGCTAGGGCTATTCTACCAGGTTTAGGAGGTAATGCCCTTGGGTAGTAGTAGTGTTAAAATAATTAAAAATTATTTATTATTATAGTAAGTTAAAGGTACTGTGTTATTCAATTATAATTAGTATAATTAATTTTTCCAAAATCAACAGATGAACCTTAGTGTTAAATGCTAGCTAAGGCAACCTCCACTCTTTGCAGATTCTTTTTCAATTGGCATTGACCATGACATTGTTGGTTCTGGTGATGGAGTGGACAGTACCATAGATGATGGTGAAAGAGGTGGTGATGAGAGACCAGATGGCACCACAGACAGAACAGCTCACAGCACTCCGTCTGCTGCTGATAGACGTGATGCTGAAGAAGATGATACCAGAAGCAATCATCAGAGTGATGATGAAGACAATGTTAGTAGGGAAAGAGATAGGGATAGTGTTGACAGTAGAAGTGAAGATGGTGATAGTGATGTTGTGCCAGAGAATGAAAATGGTGATGATGAAAGTGATGCTATAATAGATGCTGATGAAAGAGGTGACAGTGATGATGATGTGGTTGAAGTGACAGGAGTAGCAAGTTGCTCTTCAAGTAAGTTTCATTCAGAATTGAAATTTTTATGTCAATCAAATTTGGGATCTGGACAATATTTTGATTTGACCAGTTGGAGAACCATGGGAGAGAAGGGAACTACAAATCAAGCAAGGAGAAGTAATTTTCTGTGAAGTCCAATTTCATTAATTTTGTTTGTTTAGGCTTAGCCTAAACATTCAGAGTGACTCTGTCAGTGCTAATAAACTCTTAGTTGAACTAAATATTTTATAAGTTACTTTGCTTTTTAATGGAATTTTACTTATTTCTTGTAGTAAATAGAACATTCATACCGAATTCTTTTATGTGATAATGATGTCGGAGAACACAACGGCATATAACTTTTAAATTTTCAAAAATTTCTTAAGATTTTTACGCAGTTTTTGTATTTAGCATTCTCTAAACCCATGTGTCCCCCCCCCCCCCCCCCCCCCAAAAAAAAAAGTGTTCCCCCCCCAATTTAGACTAAACAATTTTTGGGGGTTTTTTTTTGGGGGGGGGGTGTTAGCCAAAAAATATTGTGTTTTTTTTATATTTTTTTTTTTTGTTTGTTGTTTTATTTATTTTTATCATAATTTTTTTATAATACTGATTTGATTTCTTTNCTAATATTATTTTTTTGTGTGTGTGTGTTAAACTATATTGCTACAATATTTTAAAACTGCAGATGTCAATGTGGTCACCTCAAGTAAAATAGGATTTCAAAGAGATATAGCTACAGTCTGTGGTATGTGCACTGTACATGTATTGTAAAAGTATTTTTAATAGTGATAATTCAAGGCCATGTGTAACATTATAGAACTTGATTTACAATTTTGTAAGGCACTCACACCCTTTTTTTGTGTTCATCCCTTTAAATCACAATTTTCACCCTATAAGTGTCTTTGTCTGACATAAAAATTAATGGAACATCGGAGGTATAACAATCTAAACGATGGGTACAAAGGTTACTTGTTGCTCTCAGGGTACACTAATGCACATACATGTACTAGCTGCTGATTCATATACAGCCTTGTATTTTAAACACTTTTAGGTACCATCGTTCCTGCTTCACTTTCAAGTATAGTTAGCATCGGAGGTATGTGGCTATATTAACATGCACACGTCAATCTAACGACCCCACAATCAGTAGAAGAAAATTACTTATGTGATGGACTTCCCTTATCAATTTTATGGTTAAACCTCTCCTCAATGGCCACCTTGGGGATAGAAGAAATTGACCATTGTAGAGTACGTAATCAAACTTGAATAAAATGGTATTAACATGACAGCTACTTTTGGTAGTTGGGAGTGTGCTTGAATGGCCATTGTCATTGTCATTGTCATTTAACAAAGTATGTTTGAAGATATAATTATAAATACATTTTTTTTTTCAATTTAAAGGTAACAAAGGGACGAATACTGATATGGACATATTGCTGCGAGTGATAACTTCACCTTGTCCGTTGCAGCTGCACTTCTTTAATTGCACGAAAGTGGTCAGTAAAATAGATGCATGTGTTGGGGTCAGGGGGTTAGGGGTCGGTGGTTGGGTGTGTGTGTAATCTAGTGCAATTTTGAACCTCATTCCTTAACCTACCTAATATTGTATTGGAGTTATGGTACCTGGTATGAGCCAAATCTTATAATGTGCAATGAATCATTATATGAGTCTCATACAGAAGTTATTTGCTTATGTTAACGTTTCTGTCTCATCAGCTAACAGAAGTGGCGTTAATCAAGACCAAAAGGCCAGTTTTGGTCCTTCTTTGGGATACCCATTCCCAGGGTTCTGTCAGGTATGTTGAATCCAGTATTATCGTGGGAAAAATAAAAACATGCACTTTGAGTCAAACACACCCTGGTGTCCTTAAGCATGAAGAATGAGATATTATTTAATGTTGATGTCACTTTATTTTTTCCTTTTTTTTTTTGTAGACTATTTACAGAGCAAGCAGAGCTTTGCAAACGTGCAAACACAGAGACCACCATTTTTCCTGTGAGGAAAACTAGCGAATCTTTCAAAAATTGTAAGTTACGTTAATAAATCAGTTGCTGGTTTTTTTTGTCAGATGCATATATTTTTTACTGTATTTGGTGATGTTGTTGTGCCAATCTCTCTCCAGTGAAGACACTTCTGCATCGCACTAACATTGAGGACGCGCTAGCCCTTCTGTTGACCAAAGTTGGGAGCGAGTTCATTGTCCTCATGAACTTAACAAGTAGAGGTAAGACATAATATTTGTACTTTTCAAAAACTCTTAAGTAAATAAAGACAGCACATTGACAAATATTTTATCATCCCCGTTTTGTTTTTATGAGACATAAAGACTGATTTGTATGTTCTCTCTTGCAGATAATTTGAATAATGGGGCTGTGCTAGATAAGTTCAGCAATTCTTTAAACAATTACCAGGGGAGATATGCAGACTGGTAATAAGTGCTTGCTTGCTTGTTGCTCTAGCCATTGATCTTGGTTTTGCATTGTATGTATAAAGTCTGATTGTGCTGTTATTAATATTATTGATATATTTATCAAAAGGGAAAAATCTGAAAATCTGAGAGAAATCAGAGAGAAACAGGAGCAGCTATTGAGAGAGTCTTTGTTGTCAGATCAAAAGGTACTCGCAGTGCCATTTAATAATATCATTAAGATTTTAATAAGGTTATATCTCTAACTTTTACCTGTATAGTTTAAAGTTAGAAACAGTGTTTATAACATCTAAGCGACAACAGTCAGGTCAGTGCAATTAAGAGAACAGATGAAAAACTCATATGTGTTACGGGGGTAATCTTTTAGAGAACGGGTAGCTTGCAAAGCAAACTGAACGCAGGGTTGTCGGAACAGCAACAAGAAGATTTTTCGTAACAATGTGAATATGTTACTATCTGGGAGATTGAAATAGGCTAAACACTCAAATATTCAAATTATCACCTGGTAGTACAGAATGTACTTCCTTAACAGCTGACACCAGTATCATGTTAAGGTTAGATTTAAGAACCAGAGGGTTAATTCAAGGAAATCTCAGTTCACTAATATTTCTACTTTCTCTCTTGCATTTTGGAATACTTCAGAAGGCTCAAGAAAGAAAACAAAACTGCGATGTGAAAGTATGTGTAAGATTAAAGCGTTTATATATAATATTGCCTTAAAAAATTTCCAAATGTTTATTGTCGACCAACAATAATATTATGCCCCTGTCTTTTTTTTCTTTTTGGCAAAACAGGTTACAGAAATACCAGCTACAATGAACAGCAGACCCTTGCTTGATTCAGATGAGAATTTGGCTAAAAAGGCAACTATATGTTAATTACCTTAAGCTAGAGATTGGTGTTTCAATTGCCCTTTTGATGCCAGGAAATGAGAGAAATTTGAGCAAATGATAGTTATTTTGGAATTTAGTTAACCTCATAGTCATAAAAAAAAGTAATGAAAATTTGTATTATATCTCAAGAGAGAAAATAATCAGGTCTAGTCCTGAATTTTCTTCTAAAATTCTTAATTAAAGGACTCTTAAAAATTCTCAGCTTCGCCTCAAGTTTTTAGACCTCAAATATTTTGAACTGCTTCAAACTCTGATAAGAATTTGGTGTCATACATTTTGGTCGAAAAAATTTGGCTTTGTCTTTATCATAAAGACTTGTTTCTCAATCCTCATTGAAATGTGCCGATTAATGTATGGAGATCCAGATCTGCAGAGTATTTATTTGAATTGTGGATTTTAATCTCTCTGTTGCAACATTTACTGTAGATCCGCACTACAAGACAACAACGGATCCGGGATTGTAATGATGGAGAAGGTTTTCTTATTAAAGCAAAATGGGGAGGCAAGTCTAACACGCGTCTTTTCAACAGAGGTGCAAAATTCCAGGTAACACATCCAAACGTGTCATCTAAACATCATACCTTTCATGATGTTGTGTGCTTAAAATATATCTCATACTGTCCAACCCTGTTGTACAGGGTTACTGTTTCTTTCTCAATGATCTAGCTAGTGTGCTTATACTTTGTAACTAATGGAAAGACAGCAGGAACTTATCTAGTGTATATATTTTTAGGAGGTGTATGACTGGTTAGGTAGCATAAGGGAGCTGCCCCTCTTTTTTTCAATCCATCGACCACTAGCCACCAGCGTAATATCAAGACAAGAGATGGTACGGCGGAATGAAGGGGTCTTTGTACGTGACTTGGTAAGTAGTAGTATGTTAAGCATCAATGAAAAAAATAAAACTGCAAGAAACTAAAAATTTTTAATTGGCGTCAATGTTTTTGTATTTAGACTCGAGAAGAAGCAAGGTCCATTTTTGGGAACATTGTAAGTTGATTAAAGATCAGTTTTGAATGTCAGTAATTAAATTTGTTCCTTGGTATAGATTACTCACCTGTTTGCACATTATGTGATTAATTTAACATGCAAACCATGACATTAGCTAGGTTGCTTGATTGGGAATACTAGGTAAATTGTGGCCTCTTAGAGAATTTTTTGTTAATCCTCTATCTATAAGATTTTATAGAGAGCATCCAAAATATTTATGGCAACAATGTCCTGAGGTCTGGTGGTATGGTGGTGTATATTAATTGCTATGTAAATTGACTGCTAAACTACTGGGTTGGCCCTTTGCCATTAATGACATTATCATAGATAGTACGGTACGATTATCTTTTTTATCATTATTGTTTTCATTAAAGGTTGATGCTG